TCATTTAATAGTTTTAAGGAGTTTTTAAAAATTTCATTTAATACATTTTTGGTATTTTATTTATTTATTTATTTATTTTACAGAATTACCCAAAAAAATATTGTAGGAAATATTTTTTCTGGAACCTGGACTAGAACCAGGACTGGAACCTGGACTGGAACCTGGACTGGAACCTGGACTGGAACCTGGACTAGAACCTGGACTAGAACCTGGACTGGAACCTGGACTGGAACCTGGACTAGAACCTGGACTGGAACCTGGACTGGAACCAGGACTAGAACTAGGACTGGAACCAGGACTGGAACCTGGACTGGAACCAGGACTGGAACCAGGACTAGAACTAGGACTGGAACCAGGACTGAAACCAGGACTAGAACCTGGACTAGAACCTGGACTGGAACCAGGACTGGAACCTGGACTAGAACCTGGACTGGAACCAGGACTAGAACCAGGACTGGAACCAGGACTGGAACCTGGACTAGAACCTGGACTGGAACCAGGACTAGAACCTGGACTGGAACCAGGACTGGAACCTGGACTAGAACCAGGACTGGAACCTGGACTAGAACCTTGACTGGAACCAGGACTGGAACCTGGACTAGAACCTGGACTGGAACCAGGACTGCAACCTGGACTGGAACCTGGACTAGAACCTGGACTGGAGCCTGGACTAGAACCTGGACTAGAACCTGGACTGGAACCTGGACTGGAAAAAGGACTGGAACCTGGACTAGAACCAGGACTGGAACCAGGACTAGAACCTGGACTGGAACCAGTACTGGAACCTGGACTAGAACCTTGACTGGAACCTGGACTGCAACCTGGACTGGAACCTGACTAGAACCTGGACTAGAACCAGGACTGGAACCTGGACTAGAACCTTGACTGGAACCAGGACTGCAACCTGGACTGGAACCTGGACTAGAACCAGGACTGGAACCTGGACTAGAACCTTGACTGGAACCAGGACTGGAACCTGGACTAGAACCTGAACTGGAACCTGGACTAGAACCAGGACTGGAACCTGGACTAGAACCTTGACTGGAACCAGGACTGGAACCTGGACTAGAACCTGGACTGGAACCAGGACTGCAACCTGGACTGGAACCTGGACTAGAACCTGGACTGGAGCCTGGACTAGAACCTGGACTGGAGCCTGGACTAGAACCTGGACTAGAACCTGGACTGGAACCTGGACTGGAAAAAGGACTGGAACCTGGACTAGAACCTGGACTGGAACCAGGACTAGAACCTGGACTGGAACCTGGACTAGAACCTGGACTGGAACCTGGACTGGAACCTGGACTAGAACCTGGACTGGAACCAGGACTGCAACCTGGACTGGAACCTGGACTAGAACCTGGACTGGAGCCTGGACTAGAACCTGGACTAGAACCTGGACTGGAACCAGGACTGGAACCTGGACTAGAACCTGGACTGGAACCTGGACTGGAAACAGGACTGGAACCTGGCCAAAACCTGGACTGAAACCTGGACTAGAACTAGGATTAGAACCTGGACTGGAACCTGGACTAGAACCTGGACTAGAAACCTGGACTAGAATCTGGACTGGAACTCACCACGATCTGGAAGTAGTCGCTGGGAATGACTTCCTCTCCGTTCTTCATCCAGCGGACGGCTGGCAGCGGGTTCCCCGTCACGGCGCACTCCAGCTCGATGTCGGTCGCCTCGTAGGCATAGCTGTTGGTCGGGTAGTTCAGGAACTGAGGAGGAACTGCGACAAACAGGCAGCCAATCAGAGGGCAGCATTCACCAACACAAACAAAAGATGGCTGCCGTAAGGAAGGTCTATTTCTGCTGAGGCTGCAAAATTTATTAATATTTCATTACATTTGATGAAACATATGATGACATTAATTAAGTTGTCTGATTCTCCCCGTGCTAACGACAAGCAACCAATCAGAGCCAGGAGGCGGGGCTTAGCGGTGATAATCATGCCCTATTTGCAGAACCTGCAGAAACTCCTGCAGTTTCTGTTAAAGTTTCAAAAGTTTTTATTTAAAAACTGATTAGGAAAAAAGTATTTTGCCTGATTTTGTTATTTTATGAATTATTGTCATTTTTGTCCCTAAAATAATAAAATTTTCACTTAACTTCATATTTTGGTCCATCTGAAGATAGATTTTAAATATTAAATGATTGATCATTTGATCAGTTACTGATCAGTACTTCAGTAGATAATTATTCAGTAATTTCTTGGACAGATATTTTAAGTTTTTACTTCAGTAAAAATATGTAACAGTATCTGATTGTGTTAGATAACAACGTTCTGTTGCTCTGATCGCCTCAAGAGTTTTCCTGAGGTGGAAAAACCACAGACTGAACCGAACATCTCCGGGTTCAACATGAGTTTCCATCAGTTTGATGTAACAGTCTGTGCAGCAGCAGCAACAGGAGGGGGAGGGGCGGGGCGTTCAGGTGTCGCGCGGCTCAGTAGGCTGCAAACAGGCCGAAGGTGTCACCTCCAGGTTCCGCTCATGTCGGTGAGAGGAGATGTGAGGCGGCGGCCATTTTTAGCCCCGTCAGGCTGAAAGGCTCCAGCGGCGGCGCGAGCGTCAAAACCTTCCTGACAGCAACGGAACGTCTGCCGACTGTCAGCACGTCGCTTCTGAACAGGGATAAACACGAGGCGGCGCGCCGCGGGGAACCGGGGCGGCTCTGGAGCAACAACCGCCTTATTATTAACATCCAGTTCATGCTGCCAGGCTCTGCATTTAAATCAAACATGTTTCAGTTTTTAACTGTTTACTGGAAGACGATGAAAACACGACGCTGCTGCTAAAGTTTCATTTTTATGTTCGATTCTAATCTCTGAGGAGGAAAAAGTTTTTTTTTTTCCTTCTGATCGACTCACCGTCATCAGTGGCTATTCAGTTAGCATTCATGCGCCTCAGAGGTGATTGACAGCGTTAAGCCCCGCCTCCTGGCTCTGATTGGTTGTTTCTAGGCGTGTAGATCATCTGTCTCATCATGCAGACAAAGCTACGTACTGCAGCTTTAAGGGTTAGCATCATCGTGATGACCTTTCACCTCCTCTGCTCAGCATCTGCATTAGACGCAAGTCCAGACTTTGACTAGGACACTTCAAGACCTTAATTTGATTCGAGCTGTCAGAGGTGATACAAATCAACATTTTTGTTTTTAAAAGTAAAATTAGAAGAAAATGATTCGTTTACTAATAAATAATCTAATATTTCACAGAACAATGATGATGTCATTTACATCATCGCCTTTGTTCTGATGCCAAAATAAAAATACCATAAAGCTGCTGCTTCCTGCAGGAACAGCTGCCAGTAACATGCAACCAGAACCAGAACCAGAACCAGAACCAGGACCAGGACCAGAACCAGGACCAGGACCAGGACCAGGACCAGAGCCAGGACCAGGACCAGGACCAGAACCAGGACCAGGACCAGGACCAGAGCCAGGACCAGGACCAGGACCAGGACCAGAGCCAGGACCAGGACTAAAACCAGGACCAGGACCAGAACCAGGACCAGGACCAGGACCAGGACCAGAACCAGGACCAGGACAAGAACCAGGACCAGGACCAGAACCAGGACCAGGACCAGGACCAGGACCAGAACCAGGACCAGGACCAGGACCAGGACCAGGACCAGGACCAGGACCAGAACCAGGACCAGAACCAGGACCAGGACCAGGACCAGAACCAGGACCAGAACCGGGACCAGGACCAGGATCAGGACCAGGACCAGAACCGGGACCAGAACCGGGACCAGGACCAGGACCAGGACCAGGACCAGAACCGGGACCAGAACCGGGACCAGGACCAGGTTCTGACTGAGTTAAACAGGATCATTGTCTGCAGTTCATCGCCTCACAATGAGGAATAATAACGGTAAAAATGACGAGATAACGCTGAAAACATAAAGAATGAACCACCATCCTCCCTTTGAACTGCAACACACACACACAGATAACACACACAGAGAGACACACACACACACACACACAGATAAACACACACAGAGAGACACACAAAGCTATCAGTGATGCTACGCTAATAACTTCCACTCTGCATTCAGATGGAAATCAGCTCCATGAACATCTGCTGTGTGTGTGTGTGTGTGTGTGTGTGTGTGTGTGTGTGTGTGTGTGTGTGTGTGTGTGTGTGTGTGTGTGTGTGTGTGTGTGTGTGTGTGTGTAAGACACCAGCATTCAGTGAAGGACAACCACACATACACACACAGTCCAACACACCAGCAGAAATTTCTTAAGCAGGTTTTTATATCTGCACTCAAACCAGCGGCTGGAACTATTAGTCATTAAGTGTATCAACACACACACACACACACACACACACACACACACACACACACACACACACACACACACACACACACACACACACACACACACACACACACACACACACACACACAGGGTGTCTGTCCGTCAGGCGGTGAAAGGGTTAATGGTCTGAATCTCACTCAGATGTGAAGGACTCACTCTGCTCAGAGATCCTCACAGGTAAAGAGCGCTCACTCTGATAACATTTACTGACACCGAGCAGAAACGGTTCGTGATCCACTTGGAGGCCCACATCCCTGCACCGCCACCACCGTGCTACCAGAACCACACCGGGATAAAAACAGGATCAATTTGGGTAAATAAAGTAAAATGAAATGATTCATGTGGAGAAAACAGCAAGAAATAAAGTTAAACTGGAATTAAATTGTGAAACTAAATCAAAAAGATGTTTGTTCATAAATGAACGCCCTGCCCCTCCCCCTCCTGTTGCTGCTGCTACACAGACTGTTACATCAATAAACTTCAATTCATAAACCAGGACCTGCTGTTGTTGTGCTGTTGTTATAATATTGACGCCGAGGAGCGAAGAGTTCCCGTTTGTCTGCCTCCGTGACTCCAGAGAGTTTCAATCCCGGATTATGAGATTACAGGCGAAGGATTGGCCGGTTTGATTTGATTCATCAGCTTCCATGGAGACGCATTAAACCGCAGCAGAGTTAAAAAATAATAAAACATCAAGGAAAAAAGAGCAAAAGCTGCTGCTGCAGCTGCAGGGATTAAACACTTTGACCAGAGAGACGGCCCAGATTTAACCTGCAGCTGGAGGTTCTGGTGGTTCTGATCCGTCTGTTTCTGATCGGATCCGAATCCGGATGGACCGCCTCGTCGTTTCTCTGGAGTTTCTGGATTATATCTAATTTGTCTTCCTGGTAGAAATTACAGTTTAATCCAACAGGAAACCAGATTTTCAGCAGAACCAAGCCGAGGTTCAGGCTTTGACTAGGCCACTCCAGACGCATTAGGTTAGCCTTCCTTATCCAAATTAAACAGGGTAGGATATGTGCTTGAACTAGGCCAAATCACAGACTTTATTTAAAATCTGTTATTTGCTTCTTTCATGTTGTTTTTAATGTGGCTGAAATAGTTTTGCGGTGATGAATTTGATTATTTCTTTATGTTTCTGCTGGAGCATCAGAACCGCAGAACATCAGAACCGCAGAGCATCAGAACCGCAGAACATCAGGACGTAAAAGTCGGATCAAATATTTCAGAAACTGAATAAAACTGGATTCACATTTGATTAAATTGTGATTTTTATGTCCATTCAGAATGAAAGTCTGATATGAAGCACATTCCCTGCTGGTACTGCAGCAGCAGCAGCTGCAGCAGCAGCTGCAGCTGCAGCAGCAGCAGCTGCAGCAGCAGCAGCTGCAGCAGCAGCAGCTGCAGCAGCAGCAGCTGCAGCAGCAGCAGCTGCAGCAGCAGCAGCTGCTGCTGCAGCAGCAGCTGCAGCTGCATTGGGACTTCAGAGGTTCCTGCATTCAACCTGGACAGTTTCATGTGAATAATAAATGCTGTAAATGTGAATAATAAAGTGTTTCATGTGAATAATAAGTGCTGTAAGTCTCTGGTTCCCATGTAGACGAGCCGAGTCTCTTTCACTACGATCATCTGAAGTTCTGGTCCCGGTGCTGCAGGCGGGTCCGTCTGCATGTCTGGTGTCACCAGAGGATTTGGAGTTAAACTCAGCCGGAATGCTGACGGCGGCGGGGAATGACGGATGGCGGAGCCGCTGAGTCAGCCCGCCTCGCCGTTCATTAGCCCTGCTAACAGGAAGCGGCTAATGAGGCGGGATGCGCTCGTTACCACGGAAAGCAACATTTATTATCCTAATCATGCAATGATGGTCGACGCCCTGCGGAGTCGCAGCGCGCACATCCCATGCATCAGCGTCGCAGTGGCGATCTGCAGACGTCGGTTTGGAGAGAAGCGACGGGAACGCCGCCGCCGCAGGCGGCTCCTCCTGGACGCTGGAGGCCCGTTATGACAAGCGGACGCTCCGACACGTCAGATTAAAACATGATTTAAATGCACGGATCAGAGTCTGTTCACATCATTTCTTTGTGCTGTTTGAAGACAAACTGGAAGCAGTTTGGTTGAAATCAGGCTCATTTCACAGCAGCTTGTGTTTCTACATGAGGACGGTTCAGTGAACCCGGCCGGTTCTGACCCGGACCAGACAGCTTCATTACAGCCCATCTACTGGTCCCAGCAAGTCCAGTTTAAGGCTTTTTAATGCCACCATGAGTCTGTTGGAGGATCCTCTGTGTCTACAGCCAGAACTTTAATGTCTGTGTTTCCTCAGCCTGATTCTTTCTGCCTGCAGCAGAAATGAATCGACATGAAAACAAAGTCTGGACAAAACTCTGGACGTACAGCTAAAAACAGCTAACTAGCTAACTAGCTTCTGAAGGGAATGCCAGCTAGCATGCTGTGTCCATAAACATATAGCTAGCTTTTGTTAACGTTAGCCGAACTAGCTTAGCAAAGAGCTAACATAACGAGCGGCCAGTTTATCACAGCTTTTTGCTTTTAGCCAGTTAGCTTAACTGGGAATAAATTATTTAAGGCCAAATTACTTTTCAGTTTTTTTAAATATCTCAAAAATTAAGACGTTTATGGTCCTAATTTTAAGACTTAAGGACAAACGGACAGATGTGATCCCACATTTTGTCTCTTTCTGTTTTACTTTAGTAAAATATGGAGCCAAAGACGCAAGATGCAGTGAGACACTGTGGGACACTGTCCCAGGTGGGATGCAATGGGACTGGGACACAGTAGGACGCTGTCCCGGCTGGGACACAGTGGGACTGGGAGACAGTGGGACGCAATGGGACTGGGAGACAGTGGGACGCAATGGGACTGGGAGACAGTGAGACGCTGTCCTGGCTGGGACGCAATGGGACTGGGACACAGTGGGACTGGGAGACAGTGGGACGCAATGGGACTGGGACAGTGGGACGCAATAGGACTGAGAGACAGTGGGACGCTGTCCCGGCTGGCAGCGGCGCCTGCAGGTGAGCCATCAGTTTTGTCTCTCGGTGAACAAACAGCAGCTGCTCCTGTTTGCTTTCAGCTCTCAGAACAAACATGGCCGCCTCTCATTACGGCGGCAGATGGAAATCTGATGGCGCTCCCAGGAATCACGTCCCAAACCTTCATTACGGCAGAATGACGCCTCCGTGCAGGAGAGCAAGGTCGTAGAGGAAAACCGGCGAGGAGTCAGAGCTAAGTATCATAAAAGATGAAATATAGATAGGAAATGGATTTTAATGCAACAGGAGAACAGATGCGCTGTCGGCAACAATTTGTGTTTTCATTTATGAATTAAAGCTCTTTCAACAGATTCTGATGCTGCCGACTGTTTCCTCCTGTCTGCTGCCTCAGATTAAAGCTGGAAACATGCGGCGCAGCACGGCGTCATGCGGCGCAGCACGGCGTCATGCGGCGCAGCACGGCGTCATGCGGCGCAGCACGGCGTCATGCGGCGCAGCACGGCGTCATGCGGCGCAGCACGGCGTCATGCGGCGCAGCACGGCGTCATGCGGCGCAGCACGGCGTCATGCTGCGGGCCGCGGCCCCCTCAGGCCCCCGCAGGCCTCCTGCCTCGCTGCACGGCTCACTACATGGAATCAGGTTCACTTTGCTTCACAACAAAAGTTATTGTTGATTTTATGTAAATAAAATTTATCCACTCATGAATTTAATATTTTATTTCAAATTTTTCATTTTCAATTTTATGTTTTGTATGAATCGAATTTAATCTGTTCATTTTTTCATCCAATTCATTTCAATATTTTTCTCCAGTTTTTTCTACATTTATTTTTTGGGTTGGTACCATCGACCCGGTTCTGCTGGTGTCGGCGAATGGTTTATTCCTCAGAACCTCCTGAATGAAACAGCGTTTGGTTCTGGTCGACCCGGTTGCAGAACCTCTCAGTCGAGGTTCTGCAGGTTCTCCTGGTTCTGCTCGGCTCACCTTGGACGCTGAGCTCCGCCTGCGCCGTGATGTTCTGGTTCTTGTTGGAGGCCGTGCAGCTGTAGGCGCCGGAGTCGTCGTCGGTGACGGTTCTGATGATCAGGTTGCTGCCAGCGAGCAGCGAGAACTTCTTGTTCCTGGAAGGAGAACCAGAACCAGAACATTAAAAACGCTTTAACTCTGCAGGGCAGCGAGCCTCCGCTTTACCGATAGCATGACTATTAGCAGCTAGCTAGCGGCTAGTTATCAGCTAGCTAGCGGCTAGGTAACGGCAAGCTAGCGGCTAGTTAGCAGCTAGTTAGCAGCTATTTAGCGACTAGTTAGCAGCTAGTTAGCGGATAGTTAGCGGCTAGTTAGCAGCTAGTTAGCGGATAGTTAGCAGCTAGTTAGCAACTAGTTAGCAACTAGTTATCAGCTAGTTGGCAGCTAGTTAGCAGCTAGTTAGCGGTAGGCTCGTCTCAGAAAGTCTCTTGAGAAAAATAAACTCCATGGAGTAAATAGTAATTTTGCCACCACAAAATTGACAAGAGTTTGAAAATGAATAAGGTTTTAATTTATAGACACGGTTTGAATCTTTGTTAGTCTGAAACTGACTCACACTTTATGCTAAAGCTAACAGCTTCATGTCCAAACATGTAAACCTGATATGTGGAGACTAAAATGTCTCCTCAGTGTTTTTCTCCACCAGCTGCAGGAAAGTCAGACTGGAAACAGATTTATCTTCTGGATCCATCAGCTGATCAGCGAATGTTTTCATTTCAGCTTCATCTGTTGATAAATAATGAATTTAGCTCCACTGAGCTGGACGCGGCTCAGACCGTCCGCCTCTCTGACCCACCAGCTCTGGATGACCTCCTCTCCTCTCCTCCACTGGATGCTGGGCGTCGGGTATCCGGAGGCGGATTCCAGCACAGCGTCGGTTCCCAGCAGGGCCGTTACTCTGGACGGACGCTGCAGGAACTGCAGGTTCCTGCTGAGTCCAGGCTCTGAAACGCAGACAGGAAGTGGAGACGTGTCCACAACTCATCACTGATTCTGTGGCTTAAAGTTCAGATTCATATTCAGATGATTTTTAAATAAATATTTACATGTTTATTTTACATGACAGAGTCTTAAAGCCATATTATCAAAACAAATAATAAGAATAAAGTTATATTATTATTAGACTGAAGTGGTAATAACTGGAGAATAAAGTCAATATTATGACTTTATTTTCATTTTATTGAAACTTTATTCTCATATTTTGCCATATTATTCTTGTAATGTTTTTAAATATGGCTCAAAATGCTCTGTTGTAATTTTTTACGTATTCATGTCTTTTTAATTATTTATTTCCTCCATTTTGCTTGAGGTCAATTTATTTCTGGCAGTATTATCAGAATCCAGTTTAATCAAAAAGTTTCTGAACACAAACAGCAAATTAATTTATATTCCAGACATTTTACATATGAAAAACAAAAACACCAGTTATTCTTATAAATATGTATATGAAGAATAAAGTTGAATTAATGCAGTTATGAATCATGGAACTGACTCTGCAGCGCCGCCCTGCAGGTAAAAGGCTAAACAGTTTGTGTCCAGCATGTGTGGGGTCAGCAGAACCTTCTGATGGTTCAGTTTTTATTTACTTGCTATTTTCACAGTTATTATGTTCAATCAGTTTGCTGAGTGAAGCAGAATATTAGAGTAGAAAGATTTCTCTCAGCTGCAGCAGCTCCGTCAGCTGCAGCAGCTCCGTCAGCTGCAGCAGCTCCGTCAGCTGCAGCAGCTCCGTCAGCTGCAGCAGCTCCGTCAGCTGCAGCAGCTCCGTCAGCTGCAGCAGCTCCGTCAGCTGCAGCAGCTCCGTCAGCTGCAGCAGCTCCGTCAGCTGCAGCAGCTCCGTCAGCTGCAGCAGCTCCGTCAGCTGCAGCAGCTCCGTCAGCTGCAGCAGCTCCGTCAGCAGAATTCTGCTTCACTCAGCAACATTCATTGTTGACGGCCGCGGCGCTGAGTAAACCCGCCCAACTCTACAGAACCGCAGAGGTCCAAATGAAAGAACCGACTGGAGGAAACCTGAGTCCGTTTCCTACCTGGCAGAACTCGGAGCTCGGCGTCCGTCCCGGTTCTGGTGCTGCCGGGTTGTCGGCCAGGCAACGGTACGTCGCCGAGTCCGGCGGCTGGACCCGGCTCACCTGCAGCGACCCGGACGGCAGAACCGCCAGCCGGGACTTAGGCTGGAAGCTGAGCGGCAGGTCCTCCCGGTTCTTCTGCCAGCGGATGACGGGCCTCGGGTCGCCGGACACCTCACAGCGCAGCAGGGCGGTATCGCCGAGGAACGACGAGACCGAGTCGGTGGGGACGATCACCCTCAACGGACCTGGAGACAGACGGAACCGTTATCGGACCCGGAGACAGACGGAACCGTTATCGGACCAGGAGACAGACGGAACCGTTATCGGACCAGGAGACAGACGGAACCGTTATCGGACCAGGAGACAGACGGAACCGTTATCGGACCAGGAGACAGACGGAACCGTTATCGGACCCGGAGACAGACGGAACCGTTATCGGACCAGGAGACAGACGGAACCGTTATCGGACCCGGAGACAGACGGAACCGTTATCGGACCAGGAGACAGACGGAACCGTTATCGGACCCGGAGACAGACGGAACCGTTATCGGACCCGGAGACAAACGGAACCGTTATCGGACCCGGAGACAGACGGAACCGTTATCGGACCCGGAGACAGACGGAACCGTTATCGGACCCGGAGACAGACGGAACCGTTATCGGACCCGGAGACAGACGGAACCGTTATCGGACCAGGAGACAGACGGAACCGTTATCGGACCCGAGACAGACGGAACCGTTATCGGACCCGGAGACAACGGAACCGTTATCGGACCAGGAGACAGACGGAACCGTTATCGGACCTGGAGACAGACGGAACCGTTATCGGACCTGGAGACAGACGGAACCGTTATCGGACCAGGAGACAGACGGAACCGTTATCGGACCAGGAGACAGACGGAACCGTTATCGGACCAGGAGACAGACGGAACCGTTATCGGACCTGGAGACAGACGGAACCGTTATCGGACCTGGAGACAGACGGAACCGTTATCGGACCTGGGGACAGACGGAACCGTTATCGGACCAGGAGACAGACGGAACCGTTATCGGACCAGGAGACAGACGGAACCGTTAAGATTTTTTTTTAAAGATATTTTTGATGTGGCTCATTTTCCAGACACCAAAAAGAGCAAATTTATTGCCATAAAACAAACAGAATGTTTGTTTTATGTTTGTTGTTTTTTAGTGCTTGCACTGCAAAACAACAAAATCTTATCAAGTATTTTAATTCAGTTTCTAGTGCAAATATTTCAGTGCAGCTGAGATAAGGTAAAAATAGCTTATTGTTAGTGAAACTACATTTTCAATAGGAAATGTGAGTTTAAGTGAATATGTGTTAATATTGGCAGATGAATTCACTGTAAAACATTTCTCCATTGTTATAAATGAAATAATCTGCAGAGGAACTCTTACTTGTTACTTTTTCATCAATATTCTGGAGCTGCTACTGAAAAGTTACTAGAAAGTTAGTTTTGTCTCATTTCAAGAACCAGAAACTAGTCAAAAGGTTCTTGGTCGGTTTGTGTTTGCAGCGTCTGCAGCTTTCAGAGCAGCAGAATCACAAAAATGTGAATCTGGCACAACGGGTCTCTGCTTCCTGCTGCCGCAGTGAGCCGCAGCAGCGGTGAGGCGGGTCAGAACCAGGCGGATAACAAAGGCAGAGCTGGAGGCCGGAGCGCCGGCCGGGTCGGACTCCCAGACGGAACCGGGCGGCAGAAAGCGGCGTGGGCGGGGTCGACAGCTGGCCTCGCTCGGCTCATTTCATGTCAACACGCGTCTCCAGGTAGATTAATCCGAGCGCCGGGACTTTAATGAAAGCTGTTTATTTTCTTCTCCGTGTTCCTGCGAGATTTAAAGCAGGATGAAGTGATTGAATCAGATCTGATGAAAAAACCAGCAGACGATGCGACTGCGTTTAATGGAAAAATGAAATCTGACAGGCTTTCCATTTATCCAGGCTGCTCCATCAAAATGAGTTCCTGGCAAACAGAATGTGTCTGCTATCTGTGAGCAGCTGCTTTAAAACCAAAGCAGGACTCGCAGAAATGTCACGACTGCCAGGAAGCAGCAGGAAGCAGCAGGAAGCATGATTAGAAAGATGACTAAGGGTACAACGTTTTGCTGCTTATTATTCCATTAAATTATTTATTAAATGTCTGTTTTTTTCATGTAATCTTCTTTTAGACGCTCCCTGCAGGCGTTCCTGACATCCCACCAACCCTCTGCATCCTTCATCACATGCAGGAACCTCCTCTCCTCCCTCGCCGCTCGTCTTCACTGGAACCTCGCAGTTCTTGTGTCTTATTAACGGTTTTCTTCCTTTTCCATTTCTGTTGATTCGGAAACAACCATTAAGGCTTTAACTCTCAGTTCTACTGGCAACACAAAACACAGGCAGCGCGTTTAAGTTTGGAAAGTTTCAGACACATTCAGGGAAAATCATCCACAAGTCGTAGAAATGAAGATAACTGAGGCTGCAGCAACACTGTGCTGAGATACGCAGATGATGCAGCGCTCTGCTTCAAAACGTCACCAGATAACTCCGAACCCGTCCGAGACAGAACCGAACCTTCACACAAACGATCCCAAGACAGTCATTACAGCTGAAATCTGGGTTTGGACAATCAGAGACACATAAAGACGGTTAGAAAACCAGCCTTCTGTCACCTGAACAACGTTTCCAGGAAACATTGAAGATCTGCTGCTGTTGGATCAGAACCAGAACCAAACGTCAGTCAGTCTTCCAACCCGCCACCATTTTCCCTCACTTTGCTTTTGTAATTTGTTCTTTTGATTAATGTTTTATTTTCTTTCTAATCATGTAAAATTAACATAAACTTTCCTTTTGTGGTAGAAATAATACTTCAGATTCACTGCAGGATTCATAATTTACTCCAAAGGTTTCAGAATCTGCTGCTGTCCAGCCAAGGTGGCTCCAGTTGAAGAGATTTTAATCATTTTAATCCAAAAGTTTAATGAAAATAAAAATGCCTCATCAGTTCTGGGATGCAAGTTTTAAGGTGCAGCTGGAAAGTTTTGGAAAGTCTGCAGGCGCAAAGTAAGAGAAACCAATTAAAACACGTTTCTGTCTCCATTTATAAATAACAACCATTGAAACTTGAAAGGATTTTTGCTCTGATTATGGCATAAAAATTAACAGAAAGAAATTTAATTTCAAAGTTTAAGCTGTTTGTCCCAACAGAGACGCCGTCCTAAAGTGAAAAATTTAACGGAAATAAAATTCAATTTGTAAGTTCCTAATGATCTAAAACGCTCATTAACAAAAAGTGGAGTTCATTCATTTATTATAACTTTTTCCAAACTTTGTCAAACAAAACAGATTATATAAGAATGAGCGAGAGCAGCTGGGAAAGTCGGAGCGCTCATCAAACAGATGCTGAATTATTAATGCAGCTTCTGCACTTTAAAAACATAATTTATGAACATAATCTGGTGTCCTCATTTATTCCAGATAAGAACATTTCCACCGTTTTATTCTGATTAAGACGTAACTACAACCACTGAGTCAATAAAGATGATGTAACCAAATAGTTACATATTTCTAATGTGATTTTCCCTAAAGGGTAAATCTGTTAAATATTCAAGTCAAATCCTTCCAGATACTTAGAATTCAATTCATAATGTGTAGGAGTTAAACTGTGTTCATTTAAAAACTGAAACTCCAACCAAATGTATATTTATATCACTTTTAAAGTCTGTAGTGATTTTATTAACTCAAAGCTCAATTAGTTTATTAATTGTTGATATCGTCACCAGGCAGGGCGTCTACATTTATGTCATGAACGCAGCACATGTTTCCATTTTATGTCTTCAAACTAAAATACAATAAAGTTTGAAAATAATAAATCAATTCTACACTAAACCACTTTAGTTTAGCAAGCTAGCAGCTAGCTGCTTACATAGCTAACAATGCAATCAAGAAGCAGAATATTTATAAGAACATATACACTATTACAATTCTTAGACAAAATAAATATAGTGATTTCTTGTTATGGCAAGCTAGCTGCTAGCAAGGCTAATGGTGCTATTAGCTAGCAGGTTCTATTTAGTAACAACATGGTATAGTTATAGATATATAGTTAGAAATGATTCCTATGTCTGTTTCAATGCAGCAGCTGTTTGATTCGCTGCTGTAAAGTGTTTGATATGAAAGGAGGTAAAACCTTGTTTGGTTTTTTTCCTGGCTTTTGTTGTGAAGGCTCTGAATCACTTCCTGCTTCCTGTCCCACCCTGACAGAAGCAATCTGTGAGGCTGAGCTCCGAACGGACCAGCGCCTCCTGCTGCAGCGAGGAACCAGAAGAGCCCAGGGATCCAAGGTCGCCCACCGCCATCATCACATATGTGAGGCGACGGGAACGCTGATGTGAATTATGCAGTTGCGTCGCTGTCGGTTTGTGTGTGCATCACGCTGCGCCTGCAGCAGCCGCTCACTGAGGAGGCCGTGGCGCCGTCACCAAACTCGCTTCAAGTCTCATCAGCAAACTTTAGATTTGATGAAGTTAGCAAGCAGTGGCTGCAGGTGTTTTTTATAGCTTCACAAGGTTTCTCAGACTCATTCAGGCTGACGATCATTAACTGTTGTGGTGTTTTCATTATTCTCTGGTCCTCCTTCTTCAATCAGCTGCTTTCATTCTTGGTGTTTCCAGTTGAGTTTGTTTCATCAGTGAAAAATGATGTGAATTCCTCTTGGTGCTTTTTTAACATCAGTATTTCAGGTTTTCTTGCTCAGCACTTTGACTTCATGTTGGAGCAGATGACCATTTGTTTACATGCAGTGCCTTGCTGACCACTAGGGGGCCACAGACTGAGCTCCACTCTGTCTAAAAAGAAAGCAGCCAGAAGCTGTTCTGTTTTTGTGATGAACTTAGTTTGCATCTTTGTTCATCTTTATTAAAGAACGACTCTGCTAATAAGATGGAAATCCGGGCCAGCAGGCAGCAGCATTAGAGGGATTTGTGGGATGGTTTTTCCTCCTTCTTTACCTTGGGACCAATTATTATCCACGTCTGGTGGTCAAGCCACACATTTCCTCGCTGCCATTAAGCAGGATTTGTCCGAATCCTCCGAGTCGCCCGCTAATTAGCCACCGGCTGGACTGAAAGCTGGTTTCCGTCCAGCACCGCGGCAGTACATTCAGGAACTTAACGAGGACAGTTTTTAAGGCCAAGACTTTGAGTTTTAGCACATGAACAAGTTGTCATTGAGTTGGACTGAAAGCAGTTTTGCACAGAAGGAAAGGAGGTCATGGTGGAAAAACACTGCAGTGGTTTGGAGGAAAAACTCCCAAAAAGTGGCTACATATGTTAAATGAATGCAGATTTATGAATAAAATGCTGCAGCTGAGAGCAGGAGAACTTTCCAACCTTTGAACTTCTTTATTTTTCAATCCAGAATCCTTGTTGTGTTTCATTGGGATTCAACATGAAACTGCATAACTGTGAAGAGCAAGAAGAATAATTCATGGTTTTGCAAACGAGGAATGTAAGATGCTCTGTTGGCTTTTTGAGCAGAACTTCCTTCTTCACCAAATGGAAACAAAATGGAGGCATCAGAATTCAGCGGCTGGAGGATTTCTGGAACGATTTCTCCCACTAGTGCCAGACTAGCATGTTTGTTTTGGTTGTATTACCCAGAATGCCCTGCGCTGTAGTCCACTTCGTGCTTTGGAGTGGACTCCAGCAGGATCTGGATTCCCAACCAGCTGGCTGGAGTTGACTGAAGGTTGATGGAGGTAATGTTTATAGACATGAGTGGCCTAGTCAAGTCCAGACCTAAATCCAGAAGATCTGAAAATTGATTGTAGAGACTTGCAGCCGGATCTGGTTCTAGAAATTTCTGACCCAGAAGGGCGCTAGTAAATGTCGCCCACACTTTTCAGATTTTACTTTGACAGCGCCGCCGTCTCTTCGTCTGTCGTTTGGAGACGTTCGTCGTGTTTTCCGGTTCCGTTTCAGCCTGTGACCGAGGAAGCTTCCACTCCTCGGTTCTGGTTCTGGTTCTGCTCAGTCTTATCTCCTGTCTGGTTTCTCTGAGCCTTCAGAGTTTCTAATTAATTCACAGTTTACGCTCCGTTCTGGGCACAGAGGCTCCAACACGCCAGCCAGCAGACTGCTAATTGAATTTTTAAGCCTCTCTTGTTAATTAGCATTTTGCCTTGTAATGTGTGTGACGTGAATGTCATTTAGGAACAACTAATTTGTTTAAGCATCCCTGTGTGTGTGTGTGTGTGTGTGTGTGTGTGTGTGTGTGTGTGTGTGTGTGTTTGAACATTTTACATGCTTTCTGAGGCTCAGTTACAGAAATGTGGCCTCGCCTGCAGTGTTTCTTTTAATGAGTCCAGTCACAAAAACACGCTTTGAAATCAAAACTAAATTTTTTTTTAAAGTCATATAATATCTTCTAACAGCTTTAAGGTTTAGTTATTAAACAGCATCTGATCACGACACAGCTTCACCTGCAGCCTTGACACGTTTCTTCTTCTGTGGTTTTGCGCCGTTAGCAGCCATCTTTAATAACTGTAAGACTTTTTAAGCTCTGCGTCGTCAACCACCTGCAGTCAGTCCACTTTGGTCCACATCACTGGTCAATCACACTGATAAGCTGATCAATGCTAGCAATGCTAACTGGTCCGCCTGCTGACTCACCACCAGGGGGCGTGGCACAGATACGTAAACATCAACAGTACCTCTGTTCAACACCAAGAGGGCAGCACTGAGGAGGTTCTAGGATGAATATGGCTGAATTAAACAGATTTACAGAAAAACGTCACAATTTGAACCAAAACAAAGATAAAAACAATAAACCAACTTTTCCTTTTCAGCTACAGAAATAAAAACGGAGATTTAGGGAGATCTTTGACGCTCCAGTCAACCTCTGGAGCATTTTCTGAGCAACCTTCACCAACAAGCAGTAACAAGCTCAACCAACCTTTGTTTCTACAAATCACATTTTTCTAACTTCCTGTCGCAGCTCATTGCAGCAGAACGGCTGAGAAAGAAAAGAAAAGAAAAGATTAGAGAACAGAACAGAAGAGAGAATGGTTTTCCGTCAGTCAGAATCCCAGTGTCTTCCTAAATCCAGGAGATTATCTCCGCCTCAGTGTGGAGACAAGAGGATGTTCAGTAGAAGATTACAGAAACATCACAGATTATTTTAAAATACGTGCTGTAATAACGTAACGCTTCGAAATCTAATTTTCCGGGATTACTGTCCACCTCATTGCATCTCCTCTGCTGCTCAGACAGGCTGCGCGTCGGAAAACATTCCTGCTGGAAATAAACGGATTGATGTGAATCTGCAGAGGTGAAAAGTTTGGGGATTATTCTCCACACCTGGTCCAGATGTTTCTCCAACGGCAGCCGAACCACAGAGATGCTCTTAAGCCGCCGCGCCGCTGTCTGCTAATGCGCTGCATAACCGGTATTGATCTGAAGCCGCACAGCACTTTGTAAATTACATTACAGGTGAGTTACTTCAGCTTTATTAAATGAATATGAGCAGAGAAGCAGCGGCAGGACGTGAAGCAGCAGAACCGCCAAGGGCGGGTCAAGGTGTGGCGAGAATCAGCAGAAACATCCAGAGAAATTCACCTGAAAACCTCCAACTGTCCAGCAGGCAACTCAAAAACCAGCTCAGCAAACACTGGGTTGATTAAAAACAGGAGAAGAAGAAGAAGAAGAAGCTCTCGCCACTAAAGATTCAAAATAATGGACATTTGTCAGGATGGCCACCACTGCAATTAATTCAAAATGTTGGTGTCAATGCAGACCATAGAAATGACACAATTTCTTGGTCTTGCTTTGACTCTTTCCAGTCTGGTTTTCGTGCTCACCACAGCACGGAGACTGGCCTCGTAAAAGTATTCAATGATATTCATATAAATACGGACGGTGGCAGAACCACGGTGCTGGTTCTGTTGGACCTCAGTGCAGCTTACGACATATTACTGAATCGACTTGAAAGTTGGGTCGGACTCTCCGGTTCGGTGCTCGACTGGTTTGAATCTTACATAAAGAACAGGGATTTCTTTGTTTCAATTGGAAACCTCTCATCAAAGAGGTCAAAGGTCACATGTGGGGTACCCCAAGGTTCAATCCTAGGACCCCTCTTATTTAATATTTATATTCTCCCACTAGCTCAGGTCATAACAGGAAATAATATTAGCTACCACAACTATGCGGATGACACACAGCTCTACATTATGATGTCACCAGGTGACCTTTGACCCCATCCAATCACTGAATAAATGCTTAGAGCAGATAAATGTGTGGATGTGCCAAAACTTTCTCCAACTGAACAAAAATAAACTGATGTCATTATTTTTGGACCTAAAGAGGAACGATCTAGAGTTATAGATCTAGAGCTATAGATCTATAGCTCTAGATCTAGAGCTATAGATCTAGAGCTATAGATCTAGAGCTATAGATCTAGAGTCAATGCACAGCTTCAGTTATTACAACTAAAAACTAGCGATCAGCCCGAAACCTGGGAGTAGTGATGGACTCGGACTTGAACCTCCAGAGCCACATAAAGACAATTACAAAGTCGGCCTTCTATCACCTGAAGAACATCTCCAGGATTAGAGGACTAATGTCTCAGCCAGATCTAGAGAAACTCATTCATGCGTTTATCTTTAGTCTCATTGATTATTGTAACAGCGTCTTCACAGGCCTGTCCAACAAATCAATCCTCCAGCTGCAGCTGATCCAGAAGCTGCTGCTCCTGTTCTCACTAAAACCAGGAAGATAGAGACATAACAGCAGTTTTAAAGTCCCTCCACTGGCTCCCTGTAGCTCAAAGAATAGATTTTAAAATACTGTTGTTAGTTTATAAATCACTGAACGGTTTAGCACCACAATACATCAAAGATCAGCTGTTGTTTGTATCAACCTTCCAGACTCTCAGGTTCTGGTTCTGGTTCTGCTCTGCATCCCCAGAACCAGAACCAAGAGAGGAGAAGCAGCTTTCAGCATCTATGCACCAAAAATTTGGAATAAACTTCCAGAAAACTGTAAAACAGCAGAAACATTGACTTCCTTCAAATCTCAAGTAAAAACGCACCTGTTTAGAGTTGCATTTGAAATGTAATATGTATGGATTTGATTTTGTGGATATGTATGTAATTTTTTATTTTATTTATTTATTTTTTTTCCTGTTGTGGGCAACGGGGCCCGGCGAATACCCGTGGTTAAACGGACGGCGGAGTCCGGCGGTAACAGGCGCTTAAATTCCGTGTCAAAGGGAAGGGGGAAGAAAGGGAAAAGAGAGGGAAAAAAAAAAAAACTTGGTATTTTATTCTATGTTGCATGCCTTTGTGTTTTGTGTTTATGATGTAAAGCACTTTGAAATGCCTTGTAGCTGAAATGTGCTATACAAATAAAATTTGATTGATTGATTGATTGATTGTGTTTCCTTTTTCTTTAAGACATCATTTTTCAAGATGGCCGCCGTGGCTGCAGTGGAGAACTCATGATTACATCACAATGGGCAGCAGCTAATGCTAGTGCTGTGGACAGGTTCAGTAACCGCTAATTCACTAAACCAGAGTCTTAGCACTGCTAACACTAAAATGCTAACTACATAAAATTAGCTATGCTAACATTTAACAGCTAAACATAAAACAATTAGCAGAAGCTAACATTAAACTGCTAATAAAATGAGCAGATGCTAACGCTAACCATTCAGAGACATCATCCAGCTGACGACTGCTGTGAGAAACTCCTCTGTTTCTGGTTTTGCTATGATGTCATAAAGTTTGTCCAAATCATAAAAATGGGGAAAATTTTATGGCAACTTTTGGCTTTAAAAAGTAACAAATGGCGGCCATGTTGGAAATGTTCATGATCCTGACATTCATGAGGCTGCTGTGAAATAAACATAGCATCATGAAGGTTAGCGTGTTGTTTCAGTAATATGCTGCGGTCAGATTAACAACCAATCAAAATGGCGGCCTTTTTCTCACCGGCCACTGTGACCTTGGCCGTCCGGCTGACGATGCTTCCCAGTCCGTCCAGCGTGGCGAGGCACTGGTACTCCCCTTCGTCGGGCCGGTGGTGCCGGGAGTGCACCACGTTCTGCACCGTCAGCGTGCCGTTCTCCAGCTGCCGGCGCCGCTCGTCCACCACCGCGCTCAGCAGGACGCCATCTTTACGCCACGTGATGGAGGCGGGGCCCGCCGAGCCCGCCTGGGCCTGGCAGTCCAGCTGCAGCGCCCCGCCCCGCACCGTCACCGTGTCCTGGGGCTCCACGGTGAAGGCCAAGTCCACGAAGCCAGGGCCGGGCGACGAGGAAGAGGATGGAGCGTCGGAGGCTGGAGGAGAGGAAGAGGGGCGTCATTTCATCAGAGACGATTCCACCAACAACAAAACCAGCTGAACTCTGGGAGCCATTTGGTTCCAACATCACAACTTATGTTTCTGCAAACAAACCCAGAGGAAGGAACCAGACTTTGACTAGACCATTCCTCCAATCAACAGAAAGGAACTAGCACTGGAACTCAGTAATTATCATTAATGTTCTTTAAATGGTTAAGCAAAAATATTTATGTTAAATAAGTTTGGAGGATAAAAACAACAGAAGCTAAAACAACACTGTACTTATCGGAAGCTAATGCTAAAGGGCTAACTAGAAAAATCAAGCACCAAATTCATCCTGAAATAATGTTCATTATCTCTGAGGCCATTAGATATTAGACTTACATTTTATTAACTTCTTATGCATTTCTTATTTTAAATTATTGGGGAAAAAGAGAGAAAATGTGAGAAGAATCTGAACTGCGGTAAACTTTCTATTAACCCTTCAAAATAAGAGCATTTGAAGCGTTCTTAGCTTCAAACCAAAACAAAGACGTCAAACTTTATTCAACTGAAAGTTTACAAAACAGACAAAAAACATATTTAGAGGAAGCTAAACATGCTAAGCTAAAAATGAGCTTAGCGCGTTAGCAGCGGTGTTCCTCTCTGGTCAGTGACCTTTGACCGTCTAGGTGCTGCAGGAATGAATGGCCGCCCGTCCAGAACCCGTCAGGAACCCGTCCAAAACCCGTTTAAAACCCTCCAGAACCCGTCCAGAACCCCCCAAGAACCCTCCAGAACCCGTCCAGAACCCCCCAAGAACCCTCCAGAACCCGTCCAGAACCCCCCAAGAACCCTCCAGAACCCTCCAGAACCCGTCCAGAACCCCCCAAGAACCCTCCAGAACCCGTCCAGAACCCCCCAAGAACCCGTCCAGAATCCTCCAGAACCCGTCCAGAACCCCCCAAGAACCCTCCAGAACCCCCCAGAACCCGTCCAGAACCCCCCAAAACCCCCCAAGAACCCTCCAGAACCCGTCCGGAACCCCCCAAAACCCCCCAAGAACCCTCCAGAACCTGTCCAGAACCCCCCAAGAACCCTCCAGAACCCGTCCGGAACCCCCCAAAACCACCCAAGAACCCTCCAGAACCTGTCCAGAACCCCCCAAGAACCCTCCAGAACCCGTCCGGAACCCCCAAAACCACCCAAGAACCCTCCAGAAGCCGTCCAGAACCCCCCAAGAACCCTCCAGAACCCCCAGAACCCGTCCAGAACCCCCCAAGAACCCTCCAGAACCCGTCCGGAACCCCCCAAAACCCCTCAAGAACCCTCCAGAACCGTCAAGAACCGCCCAGAACCCGTCCAGAACCGTCCAGAACGCATCCAGAACCCCCCAGAACCCGTCCAGAACCCCCCAGACCCGTTTATCTTTCTGCTGCGTCTGGACTCGTCGGCGCTGACGCCGGCCGCAGACCAACATCATGATGCAAGGATTGGACTTCTGAAGGAAGCGAGGAGTCGACTTCAAAGCTTGGTCCGGTCCGGTCCGACCGGCGCCGGTACCGCTGACATCCAATGCTAAATATTTCCTCACACCTTCAATGTTTGGAGGCTTTGAAGTAAAACCTCTGCAGTTTTGTTGTTTTTAAACAGAATCTTAACTTTTCCGGTTTTGCTGAGTTTTACTCCAGCAGCCCGACCCAGACGCTCCGCAGGGCCGTAACTCTGCGTTCCTGTCAGAGCGGGCCCCCAGAGCCTTTCCTTTCTGTCATGATGGGCTTTTGTTGCTTCTTGCCATGTGAGGCAGAGGCGGCTCTTTGATGTCAGCGCTGCTAAAAGGCCTTTCATCGTGATCAGAGAGCCGGTTTGTTGAGTCAAAGCGGCGGCGCCGCAGCGGCGGCAGCGTTCCCTGTAACGGCTGAGAGGAGGAAGGGAACGACCCGGATCACGACTCCGCTGGCAGGCGGTACAAACACGCCATCTTTAAAGATGGAGGGAACAGAAACAGATTCTGTCTTCTGAATCAACCTTTGACCCCTATCAGCATTCACCTTTGACCCCACTTTACAGACAATGCTACAAAATATGTAGAGAACATCCACCAAAACTTCTAGAAAGAAAAGAGAAACTTCTGGGTTTGAAAAGTCAAAAATATTTAACTTTTGAAATTTTTTTAATCCAAAATTTTAGTTCCAACTTTTTTCTGGTAAGTTTTCTAATTTCTGAGACTTTGAAATTTTCTCCTGTTTTCCAGATAATTTCTCAGATTAATATAAAAATGTCTGAAATTTTTTCAGGCAATTTTGAAATTCAGAAATTTCCTAATTTTCCTTGATTATTTTGTTGTAAATTTATAAGATTTTTGGTCCTAATAGGCCGCCATAATGCAGAGCATTTTCAGTTATTTTAGTTTTGTTTCTGTAACTGAAAGTGCAAAATTCTCCGTATTTTGAAACGTTGGATGTTTGAGCAGCTGGATTTTTTTATTTTGCAAGGCATTATGGGAAAACCCAGGACAACAATATTAAACAGCAGGTCTGCAGGTTCAGAGCGCCGCGATAAATCACCTCAGCGTCCAATCACAGACGTCCCTCCTTCACTCTTCATCCCTCCTTCACTCTTCATCCCTCCTTCACTCTTCATCCCTCCTTCCTCTCTCCTCTCTCTTTTCCTTCATAGTTCCTCCTTATTGATTCCGCCTCCCTCTATCAGTAAATCACTTTCCTGACAGCTCAATCTGTATTCACTTCCACTGCTCACACACACACACACACACACAACACACACACACACACACACACACACACACACACACCACACACCACACACCCACACACACACACCACACACCCACCACCCACACACACACACACACACAGCTGGGCAGCGTGCCCTTGTACTCCTCGTCCTGCAGTTTGATGCTATCACTCTCTGTCGCCGTTTCTTCATATTTCATCTGAAACATTGAGCTGCTCTTCACTTCATGTTTGAAGACAATCTTTTCTGTTACTGCTTCGGTTTGATTTTTGATTTTCTTGCAGCCCTTTTAAATATTTTAGGGACTGTAGGGGAAAAAGCAGAATGAGTTTCTGTACAATGCCTGGTTTGCTGCTCCACTCCTGGATTTCTGAGGGAGTTTCACATTTTCTGGTCCAGACGTCTTGGGAATACGAGCAAATCGTGGAAAAGTTTCATGTTTTTGTTTCACATTCCCGAAATGAACCTCATATTATATGGATCAAGCCTTTAGTTATTGTAATATTGATTAATATGGCTCATAGAGAATGAAAACCTCTCAGAAAATATAAAAATTATGACAACATTCTTAGAAATCAAGTGGAAGGAAAAAGCTGAATCAAGAGCCAACAAGGCAGATTGTAGATATTAACTTTGGTTTTAGCATCAAAACAGTTTCCACTGTGTGATTAATACATATTACATGTATTTGCTGTTTGAAATGATAAAATATGCATCTATGAGGAAATCTAGGTTGAAGCTAAGTGAGTTAGCCTGCTAACTAATTTTGAAACTAACTTCACGGTGTATCCTGACACTGACGCTGAAAATGGAGATTCCTAACAAACACTGGAACAAAATGATGTTCAGAATAAAACTACATATTTACTTTAAAAATAACAATTTTGCCTGATAGATAAATACTTAAAATTGACAGTGAAGCTAAATATTCAGCTCTAGAAAAATAGATTTTCATTAATTGGTGTTCAGGTTGAAGCGTTTCTCGTTGTAACGTTGGTTCCTCCTGCTGAGCGACTGAAGCTGGCAGCAGCAGGACGGCTCAGCGTTTCATATGCAGCAGCAACGGACCGGAGCAACGGAGCAACGCAACGGAGCAACGCAACGGAGCAACGCAACGGAGCAACGCAACGGAGCAACGCAACGGAGCAACGCAATGGAGCAACGGGCCGGAGCAACACAACGGAGCAACAGAACAGAGCAACTGGCTGGAGCAACTGAGCAACGGGCCGGATGATGGACCCAGATGGAACCAGATGGATTGGAACGGAGGAGCAGCAAGAGTGTGTGTATCTGGTACCGGTACCGGCTACGCATCAGTATCGGTACCGATGCGTAGCCGGTACCGGTGAACTTGGGTTTCTGTTCTCTCCGTTTCTCCTCTCGTATTTCCGCCAGTCGTCCTTAATGAGCCCGGCCGGCTCGGCCCGCTGTGTTCGCTGCTAATTACTCCGAGTGTGTGAGAGTGTGAACACTTGTCAATCCCAGCCCATTTCTTCTGTTGTGTAAATTAAATTAACTCCACTGGCTGTTTACACACGGCAATAATTAAACGCTTCTGATGTGGAGCTCAGAGGAAACGTGAGGATCCATCAGACCCGGCGGATCCGCTTCACTCAGCGCCGCGGCGTTAAAGATCAGCTGATGATTCACAAACTACACCGTCATTTTCTGCACCAAAATAATGACATCAGCAGCTGCAGCATCAACAGCAGCAGCAACAGCATCATCAGCAGCAACTGCTGCAGCAGCTCTTACCGGCCGGATATCCAGGAAGAAAAAAAAAACACTTTATAAATTTCATTCACAGACAAACCCCATTTAGGATCACAGAACATCATTATTTATCGAATCGATATCAGTGCGATCAGTGCGTTCACGTTTTCGCCGTTTTCTCCCACAATGCAGAAGAAAGTTGATCGATTTGTCTCTAGTTGCTCGTTCAGTTTTTAAAACAAAGTTTCTAGTTTGTTGCAAGTTGCTTTTCGAAATAAAGTCACTAAATCTGTAAAGTTTCTAAATGAAAGTTGCTATTTTAAAATAAATTGTTGGTAGTTTGTTGAAAGCTTCTTTTTGAAATAGATCTGATTCTTCGCTTTTAGAAATGCAAGTTGCTACTTTTTGGAATAAAAGTTGCGTTTGTTGCCAGACGCCAGAGGATTTGAAGTCACTTCATACAGAAAAACGTTGCCAGGTTGGCTGTTCCCACGCTCTTATGCCTCTAACATGCTGTATGCTTGCAGGAGGTGCGCTACACCGCCCC